AAAACTAAGAATTCAGCTCATCTTTGGCTAAATGGTAGAATATTTCCCCTTTAGTCTAAATTTGTTGACACTGCCGATGACACTGCACGAATTATGGATTTGGATTGCGGAATGTGAAAAGTCGACTTTAAATAGTTTCACTTGCTTTGTGATGGTGATTTCTGTAATAGTAGAGTCCCCTGGTGACGACACTAGCAAGCTGATAACGGTAGTGCAGATTTGGGAATGTTAGAAACGGAATGTTTAAAGCCCTGAATAACTAAATGGGTTTAGTGTTTTATAAATAAAATAAAATCCAAACCCTTCTAACTCGACTCTCTTCCTTTTGTTTGCGCTCTCTGTTCTGACTCTTCTCATTTCCTCCTCGCTATCATTGATCTTTCATCCCTCTGTGTCATCTCCATTCACACGTCTTTATTCCTTCCATCTCCCCTACACGCTTATCGCCTTATATTTTCGCTCCCTCTTTTACTATTATCTCCTCTTCTCTCTTTGCTTCCACTTGTCCTATTCATCATCAAACAAAAACTGCCATTAACGTCGTGTGTGTATTCAGTGAGTTGTGTTTGCGAGGGTTGAGAAGCGGCTCCTGGCTCCACCTCCTAGATTACTTAGATTGACCTCTTGGGCCTTATATCTATTATTAAAGGTGTGCATTGTGTTTGTCTCCGCCGCTTTCTATTCCAAGTCATTCCAATTTTCGTCCACCCTGAGACTAAAGATGTTGTTCCTGACATCCCTGTGTCTTTAGCTACCACTTGTGCCCACTTGATCCTAGTCCTCTTAATTAGCCTGCCCCTATCTGCAAACTTTGTGTGTGTATGTGTGTGTGTGTATGTGTGTGTGTGTATGTGTGTGTGTACACTACTTGTACACTCCCCTACTTGTGAGTGAAGGAAGCAAGTTGCATTACTCCCTCATAGTCTCGTGGGCTATATTCTACCAGTCCTTAAAACTATGTATGGAGCTTGCCTCCACTACTACTTCGGTCAGATTACTCCACTTCCTGATAACCCTCACGGGTCTTGTCTATCTATCATTAAAACTGTGTATCGTGTTTGCTTCCACCACCACCCCGTTTAATTCCATATCGTAACTTCCCTGGGGCTATAGGTGTTCTTACGTCCATGTGGTTTATCGCCTTTCAAATTGTCTCGCCTTGTCTGTTGTGTCCTCTGATTATCTTGTACAGTATTATCATGTCTTCCCTAGTTCTTCTTTTCTCTAAGATTATCAGTTTTCATTCCTTTATCCTCTTCTCGTAGATCAGCCCAGTAACTCTATGACCAATCTTGCTGCAAATCTTGTTTCTTCAAGTGCTTAATCATATGTGGGCTCGCGGCAGGTGTTGCATGAACTATGGTAGATCTGATATGTCTCGTGTATTAAAGTCCAAAATGATCGTTTATTGGGATTCCTGAAAAACGTTCTCAAGTTCTGTGTAAGAGTACAGCACGTGCAGCATTTGGGTATCTTTATTGCCAAAACGTTTCGTCTGCACAACAGGCTTTTTCAGTTCACCAAGTTTTGCAACTTGTCTTCAGAATCCCTCAGGAGAACTGTCATCATTAAAGAGTAGGTGTGATTATTTTCCATATATATCAGATCCGACGTCTTTTAATCCCACATCTCTTTTAACACCCTAGTATTCACTTCTTTTGCACACTATCTATAAATATATTAACATCGGTGACGTCAAGCCTACTTTAAGTGGGAAATAGTTCTTCACACACACACACACACACACACACACACACACACACACACACACACACACACACATATATATATACATATATATATACATATATATATACATATATATATATACATATATATATTTACATATATATAATATATATATATATATATATACATATATATATATATATATATACA